ATTTGACAGAGAGAGAGAGAGATCACAAGTAGGCGGAGAGGCAGGCAGAGAGAAAGGGGGAAGCAGGTTCCCCGCTGAGCAGAGAGCCTGATACAGGGCTCAATCCCAGGACCCCGAGATCATGACCTGAGCCCAAGGCAAAGACTTAACCCACTGAGCCACCAAGGCACCCCTGTGTGTCACATTTTGGTAGTTCTGGCAGACTTTCAAACTTTTTCGTTATTTTTATTATAGTCATGTGTGATCATCTTGTTGTGACTAGTGTAATCATTTTGGGGGCACCACAAACTGGGCCCCTATAAGTCGACACACGAAATCCGTGAGTGTTGTGTGTGTTCTGACCGCTCCACCAACCTTTTCTCCCCCACTCTCCCTTTCCTTGTGCCTTCCAATTTTTTTTTTAAGATTTTATTTATTTGACAGAGAGAGAGAGAGAGATCACAAATAGGCGGAGAGGCAGAAGCAGGCTCCCCGCCAAGCAGAGAGCCTGATGTGGGGCTCGATCCCAGGACCCTGAGATCATGACCTGAGCCAAAGGCAGAGGCTTTCACTCACTGAACCACTCAGGCACCCCGTGCCTCCCTATTCCCTAAGACACAGCAATATTGAAATTAGGCCAATTAAGCACCTTGACGGCCTCTAAGTGTTCAAGTGAAAGGAAGAGTCCGCACGTCCCTCACTGCCAATCAAAAGCCAGAACTGACTGAGCTTAATGAGGAAGGCATGTTGGAAGCTGAGACAGGCAGAAAGGTAGGCCCCTTAGACCAGCGAGCCAAGTTGGGAAGGCAAAGTAAAAGCCTCGAAGGAAACTGAAGGTGCCACTCCAGCGAACACAGGAATAAGAAAGCAAAATGGTGTTATTGCCGATTTGGAGAAAGTTGAGTGGTCTAGGTAGAGGACCAAAGCCGCCACAACACTCCCTTAAGCCAAAGCCTCATCCAGAGCGAGGCCCTCACTCTCTTCAGTTCTGTGGAGGCTGAGGAAGGTGAGGAGGCTGCCAAAGCCAAGTTCAAAGCTAGCGGAGGTCGGTTCCTGAGCTTGAAGGAAAGGAGCCACTCTATTTCGTGAAAGTACAAGGTGCTGATCTAGAAGCTGCAGCAAGTTATCCAGAAGCTCGAGCTGAGATCATTAAGGAAGGCGGCCACATTAAACACACTTTCAGTGTAGACAAAGCAGCCTTCTATTACTGGAAGGTGCCATCTAGGACTTGCATAGCTAGAGAGGAAAGGTCAACGCCTAGCTTCAAAGATCAGGCTGCGTCTCTCTTGTTAGGGGCCAGTGCAAGTCGCGACTTTAAGTGAAAGCCAGGGCTCACTTGCCATCCTAGAAAATCCTGGGGCCCTTAAGAATTAGGCTAGGGGCGCCTGGGTGGCTCAGTGGGTTAAAGCCTCTGACTTCGGCTCAGGTCATGATCCCAGCCTCCTGGGATCCAGCCCCGCAAGGGGCTCTCTGCTCAGCAGGGAGCCTGCTTCCTCCTCTCTCTCTGCCTGCCTCTCTGCCTACTTGTGATCTCTGTCAGATAAATAAATAAAATCTTAAAAAAAAATTAGGCTACACGTGGGGCACCTGGGTAGCTCAGTCACTTAATCGTCTGCCTCTGGCTCAGGTCATGATCCCATCATCCTGGGATCGAGCTCCGCATCAGGCTCCTGCTTAGAGGGAAGCCTGCTTCTCCCTCTCCCTCTGCTGCTCTCTCTGCTCCTGCTTTCTCTGTCTCTCAAATAAATAAATAAAATCTTAAAAAAAAAAAAGAAAAGAATTAGGCTATACCTATCCGGTCTGCTGGGTAAACGGAACAATGAAGCCCGGATGACAGCACATCGGTCTACAACATGGTTTACTGGATATTTTAAAGCCACTGTTGAGACCTACTTCTCAAAAAAAAAAAAAAAAAAAAAAAAAAGGATTGCGTTCAAAATATGACTGTTGACTGACACTGTGCCCGGCTGCTGGCGAGCTCTGATGGAGATGGACAATGAAATTAGTGTTGTTTTCATGCCTGTTGATACCACATCCGTTCTGCAGCTTGGAGATTAAGGAGTCATTTTGACTATCATGTCTTATTATTTAAGAAGCACATTTCATAAAGCCATAGCTGCTGTAGACCGTGACTCCTCTGATGGGTCTGGCCAAAAGAAATTGAGAACCTTCTGGAAAGGACTCACTGTGCTCGATGCTGTTCCGGACATTCTGACTCTTGGGAAGAGATCACAATGTCAATGGGAGCAGGAGTTTGGAAGAAGCGGATTCCCACCCTCATGGATTACTTGGGCGGGGCGTTCCAGACTTCCAGGGAGGAAGTACCTGCCCCTGTGGTGGGAACAGCGAGGAGTGGAATTAGGCGCTGAGCCTGAAGATGGGACAGCCTCGTTGCAATGTCACGATCACACTGGAACAGTACAACTCGCTGAAAACTCAGATGGTGGTCAGTGGTTTTTTTTTTTTTTTTTTTTTTGGCAATAAAGCATTTTTAAATTAAGGTACGTACACTTTTTTAGGCGTAATGCTATTGCACACTTAGTAGGACTACGGTGTTGTGTAAACATGGCTTTTATGGGCACCAGGAAACCACAGAATTCATTTGGCTCGCTTTGTTGGGATGCTCACTTTACTGCAACGGTCTGGAACCGAACCCGCGGAATTTCTGAGGTACGCCTGTGTGTCGGTGGCTGTAACGTTTCATAGAGAAGGCAATTTGGGACCGTCTCCTCGGGCTATTTCTCTAGGCGGGGAGGGAGTAATGAAATAAAGGGCGGCCACACTGGTCGAGAGCCTGGCTCAGACACTCTTTGGCCTTGTGTGATCTTGAGCAGGTGGTTTTTCGTCAAGACTCAGTTTTCCCATCTGTAAAAGAGGGACAACACTATGTCCCTTTGCAGGTATTTTGTGGGGATTAAAAGAGAATCAGAGCTAGAGGCGCTGAATGTTCAAGTTTGCTGCTATCACCGTCATCCTCTTCATCTTCATCTGTATCCTCTGCCTAGTATAGTGGCTTGCACATTATAAACCCTCCAGAAAATATTTTGTCAGATAATCATAGCTAATATTCAGTGAGTACTTTACTGCGTCCAAATGCTTTTCTGACCCCCCCCCACTTTTTTTAACATGTCTGTCCATGAGGTGCGTAGTATTATGCCAATTTTACAGGTGGGAAAACGGAGGCTCGATGAAATGAAGTGACTGGCCCAAAGTCAAATGACTAAGAAGCGCCGGAGGCCAGACTCAAGCCTAGGCCAGCCAGTTCGGGGGCCCATGACAACAGAGCCCACAAGGAGAGAGAGAAAGGTATTTACAGAGGCAAGGTGCTAAAATAGAGAGTTGCTCCATTTTTCTTATTTAAAACAAGCTTCTCCCACTTCCTAACCCCAAAGACCCACAGACAGTTTGGGGTAGTCTCTGGAATTATATCCAGCTGGCTGGCTTTGTTCTAGAATCTTCACCTCCTCAGTCTCCCTTTCTTCCTCTGCGATAGGGGATCCCATGCCCCCTCCCCCAGAGTCACAGTGACCGGGCATGCAGGGGCTCCAGAAAGTCCCTGTCTGCTTGTACTGCTCTGCCCAGGGGAGGTCGGCTTCTTGGGGCCACCTCATGAGCTGTGGAGGGCCCCAATTCTAAGATGCTTCAGAGATTCTAAGGGGTGGCCGGACTGGGGGGAGATCTCAGGAGTGTCTGGGAGCCGTGAGGACCCTCAGCGTCTTGGGATGTCTCAGAGTTATAAGGCATGTCGCAGAAGCTGTGGGGACGTTGTGGAACTGTCCCCAAGGATTGTGGGTTCATGTTGATTTCAGAAGGTAGCCTAAGGTTATAGGACTGTCTTAGGAACTGTGGAGGAATCTAATTGTGCCCCTGGGGTCTGTAGAGGACCCTAGGATTTGGGGGGCAGCTACATGTTTATGGGAACACCCCTTGAGTCTGAAGACACCCCCGAGGTTACTTTGGTGTCAATGAACTTGTGGGGCCATCTCAGGGATGCTTTGGAGCCACTCCGGGATTGGGGGACCTCTGAGGGACTGCGGAAGAATTCTTAGGATCTGTGAGGGAGCCTAGAATTCAGGGGGCCTTCATACGGTCTGTGGGAATACTCTGTGGCTATGAGAAATTCTAGGGGTGCTCTGGGAGTCTCTGCCTGACTGGTGGGGGTACTTTAAGAGATTTGGGGGACATCTGAGGAAACTTGGTGATGATCCTGGGATCTGATGGAGTTTCATTTGCAGGTGCATCCTGAGAGTCTTGGGGTGCCCCTGGGTTTTGTGGGGGATATATAAGTAATAACGAGGACACTAGTGGGGACATTTGGGAAGCTAAGAGATTGTCCCACAGTCTATGGGGCCTCTCAGAGCACCTCTGGCTTTTGGGGGGAACTCTGGGATTTGGGGAGGCACCTCTGGGTTCTGTGGGGACACCTCAGGGATAGCTAGGACACTCCCTGGAATTGTGGGGCCATCTGAGGGACTGTGGGGACAGCTAAGGGACTTTGGGGACGCCATTGGGGTTTGTGAGAGCCACAGTGGTTTGTGAGAGCACCCCAGGGATCTGGGGGGCACCCCAGATGTTTGTAGAGTCGCTTCCGGTGATTGTAAGGTCCTCAAGGGGACTGCGGGTGCCCCTGCGGTCTGAGGGGTGCCTCGCCGCAGCCGTGTGGGCGCCTGGGTCCCGCTCCGCCCCAGGGGCGGCCCCAGAGCGAAGCCGGAAGGGCCGAGGCGGCCGGGCGGGGTGCCCCAGGGCTGGGCGGCCGGCCTGCGTGGGCTGCGCGGGGCTGGCGGGCGGCGCAGCTCCCCAGCGCCCGCCGAGGCGGGCCGCCCCGCGCCCCCTGTGGTTATGGCGCGGCCGCGAGGCCTGGGCCGCATCGCCGAACTGCAGCTGGCGGCCTTCCCGGCGGTGGCGGCTGCCGAGGACGAGGCGTTCCTGCCTGAACCACCGACCCCGCGCGCACCCCACCGCCCACGTTCGCCGCCCTCCTCGCCCGTCTTCTTCGCCATACCGTCCCCAACTTTCCGCAGGCATCTTCGGCTTCTCCGCAGTTTCCAGGACTTTGGCCGCCAGGCGTGGGTGGGGTAAGTGCAAGCCAGCGGTGGTGGGTTCGAATCTCCCCTGACCTCCTGGCGCTGGCCGGGTCTGGGGTTCCTAGCTGGCCCTCCCCAGCGTAACTTCCTCTCTTCCGTCACAGGGCAGCGATAAAAATCATCCCTGCCCTCCAGCGTTGCTGTGGAGACATCTGATAGGGCATGCAGTAGGCACTCAATAAACGTTAAGTTCCTCCCACTTCCTAGGCCGACTTGAGGCTGCGGTCAGGCTTTGGAGAATTGAGGCCCACCTGCCCTTCTGGGTGATCTGAGGGCGTGTGTTCAATTCTGCGAGCCTCAGTCTAAGGGCCTGTGAAATGGGGCCAGCGCTGCCATCTGCGGGTTGCCTTGCCAGGAGGCACGGTGATGTTACCGGGTGCATCAGGCACGGAGGGCAAACGGACTTTCTCTTCCTGGCCAGACCCGGGGTGGGACATGGGGGCTGGAAGCTTGCGGGTGAGGAGCCTGGAGACCACATCCGGTCTGGCTTCCCGGTGTCCGCTTATCTTGCAAACGGAGGTTGACAGCCCCCAGGTGGGAGCGGGCTGGCTCTGGGGGCTTCTCCAGAACCAGGAAAGGGCCCTCTACCTGCTCGCTTAACCCCTACTCTCCGCACGCGCTTGTTTGGAACCTGAGTCCAAACAACCTGAGACGTACTGGGAGAGGACACTGCGGAGACAGGCTCAGCGTCTGGCCCCGGGGAAGAGATCCGGGAGGGGAGAGAAGCGGAGGAGAGGTCGGGAGCCCCGCGTGGAGTCGGGGACGGGGTATGTTTGTGGGAAATCAGTGCCTCTCTCCGAGTTTCTCTGTGTGTCTGTCTCTGTCTCCACTTCTGTCTTTCCTGTCCCTGCTCCACCCCCTTCCCCGCATCCGCCGACCCCTCCTGGGGGTTTTTGTCACCGGACCCGCACTCTGCTGGCGCGGGCGAGTCTCTTTTCCCCAGGGGCGCCGGCGTTCGGAGACCGCTCCAGCGGGCCCAGCTCGACGTCAGAGGGGGAGGAGGCGGGGCCAGAGGCAAGGCGTGGCGGAGGGGGGTGTGGGCCTGGGGCCAGAGCCGGGGAAGCCGGAGCCTGGGCACCCCTGCCCCCCCAGGCCCGGAGGGAGGGGGGCAGGCGGGAAATGTGCTCTGAGTTCCGCAGTAGGAGGCCCGTGCGGAGCCCTCCCTGGCGCTGGGGACACGGAGAGATGCCCGAATGCCCGCAGCCGTCCCTGGGGGGGTCACCGAGAGGGCGGGTGTGGAGGCGGTGCCAGCGGTGGCCACAGACACCTCGGGCCTTCGCCTTTGAGCACTGCTCGCCACACCACCGTGCCGCTGTCCCCATGCTCGCCCTGACAGCGCTTGGCACCCATGCGCTCGGGGACAGCACCCCGGGCAAGACCCCGGCCCCCTGACCTGACACTGCCCCCTGCGCACCTTGAGTCCCTGGTCCACTTCTCCTTCAGCGACGAGGACACCCGTTGGCACCCTCCAGGCAGATCTGTCAGGTGGGTGGCAGGTGGCCAATTTCCTCCTTTACCATCAAGGGCTCTGGCTGGGGGGAAAGGGTACCCAATCTTCCTTGGGGAGTCCCCAGGGTGGCTTCTAGGGTCTGCCTGGAGCCCCACCCCCTTTCCTGGCCCTAAAATTCTTGGTGTTGCTAAGGGCTTCCTGCACGTGAGAGCTTTCCAAGGGAATGTTGGGTCCTGCCCCCTTCCTATTTAAGATGGGATCCCTTCACCCTCTTTGTGCCCCTAAATCTGGGTTTCTGGCACTCATCCTGGCAGCAAATATGGGTGTCCGGCGTCACCTGGCCTCCACTCCCAGGCCACCGGCCCGGAGCCAGGTCCCTCTGGCCCTGCTCTGCTCAGTGCCTCCAGGCTTCCCCACCCCCTCCTTACTGGGGTTGCCAGGCTGAAAACCAAGCTGGGGCAGAGGAGGGAGGGAGGCTCTTGCTGGAACTCCTGGAGGTTATTTAGAATCAGCTGGGCAGTGCTGGAGGGGAGAGCTTCTCAGAGGTCTCCGGGTACTCCAGCCTTGATCATGCTTCCCTCCGCCAAACCCTTCCGACACCTGGACACACAGAGTCGCAGACATGGGCACATGCACACACACACTCCATCCATAGCTACACTGGACACCCGAACACAGGGTATTCGGGGTCACCTGGTGTTTACTGTGTAAGGCACAGGTCTCTTAGCTCGTGGGAACCCGAAGAGCCTCTCACGGTTGACCCTGGGGTGCGGGGATGCACACACTACAGAAACCCTCATCTCCCATGGTGCAATACACCGCCCTGCCCGCAGGAACACACTCAACACGGCACAGCCACATGCAGGAACGCACCTCATCCCCAGGCAGGACTCAGAGACAGTCACAGCATAGGTGTGGCACCCAGGTGCACTCTTCCAAGGTCACACAGGTTCACGCAGGCACCCATGAACACCCAGACCCCACTGACACGCTCGGGTGTCCAAATCCGCACGGAGACGCCTGTACACTCAGGTACCCCCGAGCACACATCTGCTGTGACTCACACACACACACACACACACACACACAGACCCTCTGTGCACACCCAGCCCTTACAAACAGCCGTGTCACCTGGCACCACATGCCTGCCTGGCAGACACGCCAGCGCCCGCCCTCAACCTCTGTGTGACCTTCACGAAGCAAATGCCAGGCCTTTCCATAAAGGCTGCCTGGCACCTCCTGCAAGGGAGTCGGGTGGAGTGGGGCAGGGAGCCCTGGGAGATGCCAGGCCTGCCTGGAGGAAAGACAGACACCCGGTGATTTGGTGCCCAGGTTCACAGTCCGGCTGCCCAGGCTGAAATCCTTCCTCTCCGGCTAACCAGGTTGTTCGTCCTGTCTGTACCTCAGTTTATTTCTCTTGAAAATGGGCCATTAGGGGATGCCTGGGTGGCTCAGTCAGTTAAGTGGCTGCCTTCGGCTCAGGTCAGGATCCCAGGGTCCTGGGATTGAGTCCTGCATCAGGCTCCTTGCTCAGCGGGGAGCCTGCTTCTCTCTCTGTCTCTGCCTGCTTGTGCTCTCTCTCTGACAAATAAATAAATAGAATCTTAAAAAAAAAATTAGGAAAGAAAGAAATGGGCCATTAGTGTGTGTCCAGACACAACACAGTCTCTGAGGCATTTAACAGCAGTTGACTACTTTTGTGGTTGTTAGGATTTTTACCAACTGGAATGTGTCTCCTTTCTCTTCTACTCCCCTCCTGGCTTGTTTGTTGCCCATTGGCCCCTTGGAGGAGAACTCCCTGGAGCAGATCTGCTCCTGGGCTGCACGGTCCTCCAGAGGCCCAGTTCAATGCTTGGGGAGCCCACGTGGGCAGGCCGAGGGGCCCCGGGGATGGGGGGGACAGGGAGGCAGGTGGCAGCTTCCCCCGAGGGTGCTGCCAGTGGTCAGGCCCTCTGAAGGGGAGTCTTGTGCAGGTTTTTTCCTTTCTGGTGGAGTGTCTGGGCATGTGGCTCTGATGTCAAGGCCTGCTGGCTGCCCTTGACTCCACTTTATGGCCTTGGGTCCCTTTGGGACATTAATGGAGCAGCCTCTGGCCCAACTTTGTTCCACCCTGAGCAGTGGCAGGCCAGGGAAAGGTGACAACTCCACATAGTCCCAGGGTGTAATTCTGGAGGGCAGCTGAAACGCTTTCCACCCCTACACCCCCCCCACACACTCAACCGGCAGTTCCAAAGGCCCAGTCCCCTCCCCTCTGCCCTTCCAAACCCGGGGGGACAGCAGCTCCTGGAAGCACAAACAGCGGGGACCCCAGGGAGCCTCTTCCCATCCTGGCCTCTGGGCTCCTGCTTACGTGAGCGGCGTCCCCTGGGGCTGCAGGATGGGCCAGCCGTTCTGGTTGGGCGCCCTCTGGGACTTGGCTCTCACCTTCCTTTACCTGCCTTAAATGACCTGGGCAAGGGTGAGGTCCTGAGTATGTAGGCAAGTTCCTCTCCCCGCCCCAGGGGCACTCAGCAGCACCAGAACATCCAGGCTGTGCCTTGGGAAGGAGGACATAGTTTTCAGGCAGCGAGGCCACCAACTCCTTGCCACCCTTCTATGCCTCACTCTCCTCATGGAGCTGGGATGTTAACACAGCTCACAGAGTTGGCGGGAGACATAACCGGGCTCATGTGCATAAAGCACTAGGAGTGTGCCAGGCACATGGCAAAGATTCAGTAAGTAGCTTGTTATTATTGCTTTATACCTACAAGGTTCTCACCTGGCCCTGGTATAGCAGATGCTCAATAAATGGGCTTTATCCTCAAAGGCCCAAGGTCATGATCTAAGAAGATTCCACCTTAAGAGTTTTTTTTCTTTTCTTTCCTTATTTCTTTTCTTCCTTCCCTCCTCCTTCCTTCCTTCCTACCTCTCTTTCTTTCCTTCCTTCTTTCTTTCTTTCTTTCTTGTAGGCTGTACACTCAGCATAGAGCCCAACATGGGGCTCGAACTCACAGCCCTGAGATGAACACCTGAGCTGATACTGAGTCAGATGCTTAATTGACTGAGCTACCCAGGCGTCCCTTAGGAGTTTTTGTTTTTGTTTTTGTTTTTTTTTTTACTTTTAAAAATTAATGTCTAGTAAAATTCACCCTTTTTAGTATACACCGTATGAGGGGTTTTTATTGTGGAAAGTATATATAACATCCAATTACCCATTTTAATCTCTCACGGAGTGTACAATTCAGTGTCATTAAGTATGCGCACAACTATCACCACGTCTGTCTCCAGAACTTTCTCATCTTCTCAAAAGGCAGCTCTGTCCCCATGAAGCACTAACTCCCCACCCTTTGCCAACCCTTGGCTCCCACCATTCTACTTTGTGTCTAGGAATATGACTGCTGTAGGGACCTCTTCCAAGTGGAATTTTACAATATTTGCCCTTTTGTGTCGGGCTTATTTCATTTGTGCTCTCTTCACTTGTGCTCTCTCTCTCTCTGTCAAACAAATAAAATCTTTAAAAAAGAAAAAGACTTTATGTATTTTTATTTTGAGATAGAGCACG